ACAGAAGTTCAAAGTGGTGAAATGATTTGCCATTTACTAGCTATTAAGTTCTGGTGTGGCACTCTAGGACAGCTAACCACAAGGTCATGGATTCAAACCTATCAGCTGCTCCTTGGAAACTCTATACAAGGTTGTTATGAGTTGGAATCAACTTGATGGCACTTAACAACAACAAGGCTAGTTAGTGCAGGATTTGGACTGGAGTTCGGGTCCTCAAATCCCAAGTTCCCTCACTACAGCTTTTGTTCTGAGTTGAGAAAGGATGAACCCAACAAGGGTTAGGATATGTGTGTATGTGTAGGTAACTGTAATGGAGGAGGGGGAGAGAACCCACTTACAGGACAGACTTCTGGAAATGCAGGTGAATGTGGAGAAAGGAGGGGTTCCAGTCTGGAGAACGGGAAGATAGCCACATAATATGATATATGAACAATTAGACCTTCCTGGGAGCTAAAATTCTTGGGGGGTGTGACATGCGTAAGGCTCTAAAGCACTGTCGAGATCTGAAGAAGTGAGGAGGGGCTTCAATGATGAATATCTATTCTGTGAGAGTAGGGTATTACTGCCTTAGAGGAAGATACATTAGAAAAACAATATATGATGCAATATGACTGTATGGATTATAATTAAAATGCAAAGTATTCTAGGAGAGAAAAAGGACCGAGCAGCAACTAATGACCAGGGAAGTTTAGGGAAAGTTTATTAAGGACCTAAAATGATTGAATTGGCCCTTTAAATGTGAGCAGTTACCAAGGAAAAACAGTGACCCAGGTAGACACAGGGAAATAGCAGGAAAGGCTATTACCAAGGTGAAAGGTGGATGATCTAGGAACATAAACAGAACCGATGATGTGATTCTGTTTCTGCATTAGCAGGTCAACCCCGTGCCTTTCCCTAATGAATGGGGAAACTAGAATTGGAGAAATGAAAACCCATGAAGGCATAAATTATACTTCAGAGAATGGTAACGTGAGAAAGAGATTTAGGAGAGATTTACAAGTTGGAGAGGTAGAACTTGCTATTCAATTAAATATATCAGTAAGAAAGAACAAAAATCAGAAAGAATTCTGTTAATGGAGAGAAAAAGTAGAAGGAATAGATTGGGCCTGCGTGTCCAAAGAATATGTTTTGTTTAGATAATTCTGTTTGCTGACTATCCAAACAGGCTTACTTGTTGGTAGTGAGCCTAAAGCCTAGAAGGAGATCGATCGGGGTAGGATTGGTAGCGATGGGGACTGCTGACATGGAAGGACAGAGGAGGCGCTCCTAAAGTAGACTAAGAGGCCATAATGGAGCCAAGAGAAAACAATTGTGTGAAAGCTAAGGGAACAAAGAAGTTTTCACATGTGGTCTTCTCCAAGTCTGGAGCTAAGAAAAAATGAGGTAGGGCAGGGACAGAAAGCTGGCCATTGGATTTGACGATTGGGAATTGTCTTGTGACCAGGAGAAGAGATGCCTTGGAGGAGACAGAAGTAGATTGTAGTGAGTTCAGGAATCAGGGTAAGGAACAGTTTGTCCTCATGAAAGAAAAAAAAGTAGATAATACAAACCAGGTATATAATTTACTTCAGAATGTATCATTTATACAAACTTCATGACAAAATCAGCCAATCTTGGGCAGTTGCGGGTGTCTGAAGATTACCACCATGTTCCTAGCATCTCTCCTGAGTTTGCGATGCGTGAGGTTACTTGCCTCACTGTCTTTGTATCTCTAGAGAATCTAGACTAAGACAACTTCCAATTTGTTTTATCCCATGGAAAATGTTATTACATTGGCTTATTAAATTTACTTTCAGGTGATAGTTATAGAAATGAGTGTCTATTTTTATATTTTTAATACTTGTGTTATTTTTAGACTACCAAACACATGCTTCCTTTGCAGGCTTTTGCCTAAGACCATTTTTATAATATGTATCTCTATATTTTGAAAGGATAAAAAGTACAGTAATTGTTTCACAGAATTGGGGAAGCAAAATAAATTTTTAGCCAACCCTGTTAGGACTTTATAGAAATTGTAGAATGTATTTCCCTCGCCCTGAATTGAATAGACGGCTTACTCGTCTTTGATTCCTTATTTCTCTGATTTCTTTCAGAGAAATCCATAGGGATGGAATTGTTTCTCCCCCAAATCTGTGTTGTAAATCCTAACCTCTAGTCCTATGGCTATAATCCCATTTGAGAATAGGGTGCATGTGTTGTGTTAGTGAGGCAGGATTAGTGAAGTGTCCCGTCTTTTTGGAGATTTGTTGTTGTTAAGTGCTGTCGTGTTGGATCTACCTCATAGTGACCCTGTACATGGTTTCTGAGGAGTGGCTGGTGACTTTGAACCACTGGCCTTGTGGTTCAAACCAACTTTGTGGTCCAGTGCTTACCCTGCAGCACCACACCAGGATTGAAGCAGAGGTGGGGACAGACAGATGTCAAGCCACAATAAAATTTGCACAGAAGCAGACGTTCAAAGAGACACCTTCCTCCAAAGCCAACAAGAGAGAAAGCCTTCCCAGGGGCCGGTACCCTGAATCTGGACTTTAAAACTGAGAGAAAACAAATTTCTGTTTGTTATAGCCACCCACTTGTGAAATGTCTGTGATGACAACCCTAGAGAGCTAAGGTAGAGTTAAAGCACTATTTATGGTTCTAGATAAAAATGGATTCTTTAGTAAGAACTACAAGAAAACCCAACAGCTATTTTTGCTTCTTTTTCTTCCTACTCTGCTGTATTAATATTCTGGCATCCAGTCTGATACCACCCCCTTCCACCCTATGGAAACAGATTCCTGGCATTTGCTGACACTGTTGTTGTTAAGCGCAGTTAAGTAGGTTCCAACGCACAGCGACCCTGTACAGGGGTTTCCAAGGTTTATACAAGATTTCCTCGTTTAAAAAAAGTAAGTTTGTCAGTGTGTCTCCTGCTTTTCTAAGCATAAGATTCTATCGTAGTTTTCGGGATGTAAAGATACTCTACCACTTGAACTGAGGCCCTGGTGTGGCACTGTAGGATAAGCCCTGGGCTGTTAACCCTAAGGTCAGCAGTTCAAATCCACCAGCTGCTCTTTGGAAGTCCTATACAATGTCACTATGAGTTGGAACCTACTTGACGACACTTAACAACAAAAGCACTTCAAAGAATTGTCCTTGAGGGATTAAGTTGGAAAACATACACTTCCTGAGTTCAAAACTTTTATTACAAAGGAAAGTCTGGACTGAAAAAAAACAAAGGGTAGACATAAAGAACCAGCAGAATAGGATTGAGAATCCTGAAGCAGAACCTTCTGTTTATGGTAAATTTGATTTTCTGGCTTCATTAGAACTTAAAAACTTTGGTGTTTAAAAGGATGCCATTAAGACAGTGAAAAATGCATAATGAACAGGAGAAAATATTTGAAAATCATATCTGATAAAGAACTTGTAAGAATGTCTGCAACTTAACTGGGCAGAGTCTGTATTTCTCCAAAGACGATACTGTGGAGGTGGTATGCCGTGGAGTCGGTTCTGACACATAGCAACCCTGTATAGGGTTCCCAAGGCTGTAAAACTTCATGGGAGCAGAAAACCTCTGCACCACTAGGACCCTATTCATACACACTAGTGTGGAGTCCTGGGGTGGCGTTGTGGGTTAATGTGCTGGACTGCAAAGTCGGTTTGAATACAAGGTCAGCAGTTCAAGCTCACCAGCTGCTCCTTGGAAATCCTATATAGAGTCACTATGAGTTGGAATCCCCGGCACTGAACAACAGCAACACATATAGATACATAGAGTAGCTTGGGGGGAGGGTGTGTGCAATGTGTAGGTGGGGAGTGACAGCTAATGGGGACAGGGTCTCTCTAAGGAGTGATGAAATGTTCTTGAATTAGGAAACAGTGATGTTGAAATTAAAAAATATAAGTAAGCCTAGGAAACTTCAGTTTACCAAAATATAGTTTAAGTTCAGTTTTATAAATACTATGATTTTTTTACTTAGCAACAGTAATCATAATGATTAAAAAAAAATGCTACTAAGTAAGTATGTCCTGGCATTTTATCCAGCTCTTGACACTTAGTTGCTGTTGTTGGTAAGTGCTGTCCAGTCAGTTCTGACTCATAGTGACCCTGTATAGGGTTTCTGAGGAGCGGCTGGTGAGTTTGAACCACTGACCTTGTGGTTCAAACCAATCTTGCAGTCCAGTGCATTAACCTGCAGTGCCACACCAGGACTCCTTTACCCTTGGTATTCTCTCTCAAACCAAGGCAATGATCTCGTAGATAGGGGTTATGGTCCCATTTTATAGATAAGAAAATGAAGGCTCAAAGAGGCTGAGTAATTAGGCCAATTTTTAACTCAAGAAGTTCTATTAATACCACTCTGTCTTTTTAGTAATAACTATTGAGTTACTTATTGGGGGCTCTAGAGCTATTGTTACTTTGTAGTCTATTATTTTGTTCTTCTACAATATTTTCTTCAGCAAATTCGAGTCTCATTGGAGGGCTGGCCCAGTATTAAGTGATCATCTTTCTTTCTTAATTTGTTGAACACAGGGCAAAGACAGAAAAACCCTTATATGACAAGTCTTAATTTTTATTCGTATTAAATTACAGAGTACCATAAGTAAGTATAAGATTATAGTTTGAATATTATAATGCAACTTAAAAATTGACACATTACTTAATTATCCAAAATTCATACATGTTTGCAAGTGCACTGAAGAGGTTATTTGGCATAATTTGGCAAGATAAATTGTTCTGTACTTTTATTTGACCATTTATCATGTATATTTGTGATACATATATCTATGTATAATATATATATATGTATATATATATATATATACACACACACACAGAGATATAGTCCTAAATTAAGCATATGTATAAAAAGCAGATGTTTTGATATTAGGATTAATTCCTTTTAAAAAAATCTATTATTAAATTGCATCTGCATTCAAAGCAGAAATGTAAAAAAATTAATAATTTTCTAAGTACACATGAATTTACAAAGTAATGGGAAGTGACATAAAGATTGCTATTGTAATTTTAGATTACTATTTAATTGACATTTAAGTGGCACTATCAAACTATGGAAATAAACATCAGTTTTGTAGGTTATTGCAAGAATAAAGATTCTACTGAGCATTGCTGTACCCTCTAAATTACAAATGACTATCATTAGAGTAGGAAAAGATAGCAGACAAGTTTTCTTTATTATTACGGGAATTATAGGAAGCGATCAAGGCAGTGTCTGTCCTTCAGGGCCTGAGTTCTCTGCTCCTTCCTCAGTGGAAGTCGGGCTTTTCTGGGAAGGTGCAGCCAGCTCGTCTAATGATGACGCTCGCGGCATAGTGACCAGCGCGGATGCATTCAGTGAGTGGCTTGTCATAGACCAGTTGAGAGAGAAAACCTGTAATGCAAAGAAAAGAGACGAATCTATGCAGTGTATAACAGCATCGGAAATGTCACACTGGGTCTGAAAAAAAAACAGTCTCGTTCAAGCACTTACCTTATTCTCTGTCTTGAGCAAACTAAACTAAACCCATTGCCATCAAGTGAATTCTGACTCAGAGTGACCCACTATAGGTTTTCCAAGACTGTCAGTTTTTATGGGATCAGACAGCCCCATTTTTCTCCCATGGGGTGTGTGTGTGTGTATATACACACACACACACACATATATATATACATATACATGTATATTGTGGTTGTTGTTAGGTGCCATTGCGCTCCACTGACTCATAGTGACCTTATGTACAGCAGAACAAAACACTGCCCAATCCTGGGCCAACCTCACTACTGTTGCCACGCTTGAGTCCATCGATGCTGCCACTTGGCCAATCCATCTCGTTGGGGGTCTTCCTCTTTTTCTCTGACCCTCCACCTTACCCAACATGATATCCTTCTCTAGCGACTTGTCCCTCCTGACACTATGTCCGAAGTATAAGAGATGAAGTTTGACCATCTTGGCCTCCAAGGAGCACTCTTGCTGCACTTCTTCTAAAACAGATCTATTAGTTCTATTGGCAGCCCATGGCACTTTCAATATTCTCCTCCAACACCATAACTCAAAAGCATCAATTCTTCTCCAGTCTTCATTATTCACTGCCCAGCTCTCGCATGCATATGAGGCTATTGAAAGTACCGTGGCTTGGGTCAGGTGCACCTTAGTCCTTCAAGCTGACATCTTTGCTCTTCAACACTTTAAAAAGGTCTTGTGCAGCAGATTGGCCTAATGCAATACATCGTCTGATTTCTTGACTGCTGCTTCCATGAGTGTTGATAGTTGATCCAAGAAGAATGAAGTCCTTGACAACTTCAATCATTACTCCATTGATAAGAATGTTGTTTATTGGTCCAGTGGTGAGTTTTGTTTTCTTTACATTGAGATGTGATCCATACCAAAGGCTGTCCTCTTTGATCTTCATCAGTAAATGTTTTAAGTCTTCTTCACTTTTCAGCAAGCAAGGTTGTATCATCTGCATATCACAGGTTAATGAGTCTTCCTCCAATCCTGTTGCCACATTTTTCTTCAGAGCCCAACTTCTTGGATTATTTGCTCAGCATACAGGTTGAATAAGTATGGTGAAAGAATACAACCCTGTCACACAGCTTTCTTAATTTTACACCATTCAGGTTTCCCATGTTCTGTTCAAACAACTGCCTCCTGGTCCATGTACAGACTCTTCATGTGTACAATTAAGTGTTCCGTAGTACTCATACTTCGCAATATTGTCTATAGCTTGTCATGATCCACACAATCAAAAACCTTTGCATAGTCAATAAACCACAGATAAACATCTTTCTGATATTCTCTGTTTTCAGCCAAGATCCATCGGACCTCAGCAATGATATCATATCCCTCATTCCACGGCCTCTTCTTAATCCAGCTTGAACCTCTGGAAGTTCTCTGTCAAAATGTATGCTTGCAGCCGTTTCTGTATTATCTTTAGTAAAACCTTACTTGCATGGGATATCAAAGAGATTGTCCGATGATTTCTGCATTCAGTTGGGTCACCTTTCTTTAGAATGGGCACAAATATGGATCTCTTTCAGTCAATCAGTTGTCTTTCAAATTTCTTGGCAGAGATGAGTGAGTGCCTCCTGTGCCGCCTCACTTTCTTGAAACATTTCAATTTTTATTCCATCAGTTCCTGGTGCCTTGTTCTTTGCCAATTCCTTCAACGCACCTTGGATTTCTTCCTTCAGTATCATTAGCTCTTGATCATATGCTACCTCTTGAAATGGTTGAACATTAACCATTTCCTTTTGGTACAGTAACTCTCTGTATTCCTTCCATCTTCTCTTGATGCTTTCAGCATAATTCAATAATTTGCCCAGACAATCTTTCAGTAATGAAAGTCGAGGCTTGAATTTTTTCTTCAGTTCCCCCAGCTTGAGAAATGCTGAGCGTGTTCTTCCTTTTTGGTTTTCTGATTCCAGATCTTTGCACATTTTGTTGTAATATTTGGCTTTATCTTCTCAAGCTGATCTTTGAAAAATTTCTGTTCAGCTCTTGGACCTCCTCATTTCTTCCATTTGCTTTAGCATCTCTATGCTGGAGATATATGTTGTTGTTGTTAAATACCGTGGAGTCGGTTCTGACTCATAGTGACCCTGCACAGGCTTCTGAGGCTGTAAATCTTTACGGGAGCAGAAAGACTCATCTTACTTCTGCACAATTACTGGTAGTTTCGAACTGCTGACCTTGAGGTTAGCAGCCCGATTCATAACCGCTATGTTACCAGAGCTCCTTATACATATACATATAGATACGTGTGTATACATGTGCATATATACATGTGAGTATATACGTGTGTGTACGTGTGCTATATATGTGTGTGTATATATATCTATGTGAACCCTGAACCTCTGACCACAGTGCCATTTGGGCTCTGTCCTTTCTTGACAGTAGAGGGTAATTCTCAAGGGTTTGAGAGCTCTTCCCTCAAATATAAGTTTCCTTGTAAAGAGCTCAAGCTGGAATATGATAACTAGTCATGAAGTCAGCCTTAGGCATTCTCGGTCTCAACTCTGAGGTGTTTCCTTTGCCTTGAGGGAAAAGGTTGGGAGTTAAAAAGAAAAATCTAGGGAAGTACTGGCCTTTGCAACTGAGAAGTTAGTTATCTTTCTTCCCTTCCCTTTGACTTCCTGCTATACTGTTATTCCAAAACATACTGCTATTTCAACAAAAGTTTCCTATCTTGATATCTGTCCAAGTACAAATTTTTATTGCATTTGACAAATCTGCAGCAAAAGACATTTTTATAGCGTTAAAGAGCAAAATTGTCATTTTGGGGGTCTAAAGTGTACCTGACCCAAGTCATGGCTTTTTCATTCATCTCATATTCTTGTGAAAGTTGGACAGGGAATAAAGAAAACCATAGAAGAATTGATGCATTTTATTATGGTTGGTAAAGAATATTGGAAGTACCATGGACTGCCTGAAAAACAAATCTGTTACCGACGACGTACAGCCAAAAACTTTAGAAGTGAGGATGGTGAGATTTTGTATCTGGCACTTTGGACATGCTGTTAGGAGGGGCCAGTCCTTGGAGAAGGACATCATGCTTAATAAGATGAGGGTCAGCAAAAAAAAAAAAAAAAAAAAGGAATATCTCCGAGATGATGGATTGACACAGTGGCACCCAAAAGGGGCTCAAACATAACAATTGTGAGGTTGGGGCAGGACTGAGCAGTGTTTTCTTCTGTTACGCAGAGGGGCGTTAAGTCAGAACTGACTAAATGGCACCTAACAACAACAAGATAGAAAATAGTGTCAAGAACTTTCATTTCTGACTAAGATGGAAAAAGAGAATCTATATTTACCTTTCTTCCAGAAACAAAATGAAAAAGGTTTCCAAATATGGTACATCAGGACATACAGCGTCAATGAAAGATGGGAAACAGACGAAGTGGATTGTAAAATTGCTTCAGCTTACTGTATATACGCGTGTGTACGTGTGCATTTATACATGTGTGTATATATGCATGTGGGTTTGAACCTCTGACCACAGTGCCATGAGAGCTCTTTTCTGTCTCAACAGTAGAGGATAATTCTCAAGAGTTGTAGAGGATAACTCTCAACTCTTACTTAGTAAGAGTTACTAGGTTACAACATAAGGAATAAGAACTTAGGAAGAGGCCAAAAGTTGCCCTGAGTTCAGAAGATGGAATTGGAAGCCCAAACAGACAGAACTTTGGCAAACTGACCAGGGTAAAAAAACAAAAGAAGACGTAAATGATCAATATAGGGAATGAAAAAGATACTACTATAGAGTCAACATATATGAAGAGGAAAATAAAATCATTACTGAGGATTGAATTGTTTTCCTCAAATTCTAAACTCTATGCGTATGGATTACTATAGGATGTGTCTTCAGTCAATCTCTTTTGAGAGACAGAGTATAAAATAAACAAGGGGAAGAAACAGGGGAAGAGATACTCCAAGCTACATGAAGACTGCTCAGGAACTGAAGTGCTGAAGATTCGGGCTGCTAAACCTCAAGGTCAGCAGTTGGAAGCTACCAGCCATTCCTTGGGAGAAAGATGAGGCTTTCTGCTCCCATAAAGATTTATAGCCTTGGAAGCCCTATAAAGGGTCATTAGGAGTCAGAATCGACTCCACAGCACATAACCACTGCCACCACCAGATAAATTAAGACAATCATGAACAATTTTATGTCAATAAAATTGACAATTTAGATAAAATGGCAAAATTCCTTGAAAGACAGAAAACTCATTCAGGAAGACATAGATAACCTGAATTTATTCTCTGAGTGTGTTGTAAGTAAAATTACAGACTCAAATGATGTCACTGGTGAATCCTATCAAACATTTAAGGAGTAAAAACAGTAAGAACTGTATACAAACCCTTCAGAAATTTGAAAATAAGGGAATACACGTCCCACCTTTTACTGTTCAGGATTACTGTTACCAAAACAAATGCCCCTCATGAACATAGATGAAAACATTCTACAGGGAATGTTATCAACCCCAAACCAAACTCATTACAGTTGAGTTGTTTCCAACTCAGAAAGCCTTCGTAGGACAGAGAACTGCCCCATACAGTTTTCAGGGTTTTAAATCTTTACAGAAGCAGGTTGGCACATCTTTGTCCTGAGCAGCAGCTGGTGGGATCGAACTGCTGGCCGTTTAACAATGCACCACCAGGGCTCAATTCAAATCCAACTAATCTATAAAAAAGATAATAAAGCATGACCGAGTAGATTTATCCTGGAGATACACGGTTAAACATTCAAAATTCAATCAATGTAACTCACCATTGTTTTAGTTGAAAAAAAACAATACTCTAAAGATCATCTTATAGATGTAGAAAAAGTATTTTACAAAATCTAAACAGGCATTCTTGATATAAAAACTTTCAGTAAACTAGGAAAAACAATAAAC